CATATAATATTACAAATATTATAATTATTTATTTTTATATAAATATTTTTTCTAGGAATTAATATTAAAAATTAAAGATACAGATGAAAGTATTGCAATACAGCAATTGAATATTACCCTACGAGATTTATTATTACTTTGGTTTTCAGTAGGATTCTTATACTTAGAAAGAATTACATGGCAAACTTCATGTGATATTTTACAAAAGGTATATATATTTAAGATAAAATTTTATTTAGTTTAAGAAAAATTTATATAATATGTATATATTAATTAATCTAATAGAATCAACTAATTAAAAAAGTATAACTATAAACATTTTATAGTTATAATTTGAAAATAATAAGATTTCAGATTATGAAACAATACATCCTATAAAAAATTGGTTAGATTTAAAACAAAGAGTTGGACCATATAGAAGATGTTACATTTTCACTCATTTATCTATGCCACGAGAACCTCTTGTTGTATTACATACAGCATTATGTGATATTATACCAGGTACATTTATATATTTATATATGCTAAATATTCTGATAAAATAACATTACAAATTAAACTCAATATAATGAATAATATATATTGATACGAAACATTTTATAATATATAATATAATATATATTGATATTATCAATGTATAGATAGTATAAAAGATATTGATGAAGCAAAAGTCAGAATTCTTGGTAATCTAAAAAAAGAGATAACATTTTTAGAAGAAGATAAAAGTAAAATAAAAACTGCAATATTTTATTCAATAACTTCCACACAAAAAGGATTACAAGTAATTATATATATAATTACCTGAAAATTTATCATTAATAGAATAAAAAAAGAAATTAATGAAAAAAGTATTTTTCAGGGTATTGAACTTGGTAATTATTTAATAAAAGAAGTGGCAAAAGAAGTGATATCAGAATTTCCTATGATTCATGAATTATCTTCATTATCACCAATACCTAATTTTAGAATATGGTTTTTAGAAAAAATAAAACAAGGTAGTTATATTTTTTAAATAATTAAAAAATTTATAAATAAAATTTATGAATATATATAAAAGAATTCAAAAATAATTAAAAGATTATATTTTAGCATAAAATTTTTTTTAGATATATGTAATATTTTCACAAATGAAGAATGTAATTCTATACAAGAAATTTTAAAAGAAAAAGATATAATTTTTGGTTTAAAAAAAATTTTAAATAATTCATTATGGACTCAAGATATTAAAATAAGCGAAATTTTAAAAAAACCATTACTTCGAGCATGTGCTTGGTATTTATATAAAGAAAAAAGACGAAATTATGCTTTAGATAGTGTTGGTAAATTGACTATTATAAATCAAATAATAATTAAATTTTAGTTAGAAAATAAATATAAATTTAATATCTTTTAAATCACAGCAAACTTTCATCTTCGTAATGGAGCTGTTATGTGGAGAATAAATTGGTTGGCTGATCCTTCACCACGTGGTGTTGGAAACAGTTGTGGAATTATGGTAAACTATAGGTAATTTAATTCATTAAAATTAAATTTAAATATAATTAAAATATAATTTAATTTTATATATTTAATATATTTTATATCTTTAATTATATATGTTATATTAATAGATACTATCTACATGAATGTGAAAAACATAGTCAAAATTATATTGAAAATTATTTTATAAATGCTTCTGAAGATATAATTAATCTCTCAACACAGTATAAAAAATTATGAAAAAAATTTTACAATTTTAAGAAGGTATCAAAATTCTTTTCAAAATTATTTTTTTATGAGAAATATAAAAATAATGAAATTATATAATATAGGAAAATATGTATTTTAATATTTTAATGATAATAATATTTAAATACCATAAAATAATATTTTAATGGTACTGTGGTTTAATTAGAAGTTAGAAATGGAATTGAGTCATATGTGATAATTTAATGTAATAAATTAATTTCTTAAAGCTAAAATTTACAAACGAACATTATCAATATAAAAAGATAAAAATATTTAATATAAATCAAATATATAAAATCAAATACAAAAATTTCTTTTATCTCATAACTTGTTATCAATTAAATTATACTTTATATAAATGATATTAGAGTACTTAGACATAAAATACATTAAAATTTAATTTATTTTATTCTTGTTTGATTTTCTATTTATATAAAAAAATTTTATTTTATATTTCTCAAATAATATATATAAGATTGATTATATATATAAAATA